AAGAATACTTACATCTAAATTCAATGCAGGAGCAACTTCGACTACTTTCTGATGACGTCTTTGGACCGAACAATCCCGTTCAAACAAATGTACAACATTACCAGCAGAATCAGCTAGTATTTGAACTTCAATGTGTCTTGGTTTATCCAAGAATCTTTCCAAAAACACTGTCCCATCACCAAAAGCAGCCAAAGCTTCTGATTTAGCTCTTTCAAACGATTCTATCAATGTCTCACTGCTATTTACAACTCTCATACCACGACCTCCGCCACCCATTGCTGCTTTAACAATGATTGGAAATCCATATTCAGCTATAAATTTTTCTGCTTCTTCAACTGTAGAAATCGGTCCTGGGGTACCAGGGACAACTGGAACACCACACTGTATAGCTAATCATATTTCAAATAATAATACCAATCAATTAATTATATACAATATATGATGATTAATTAATAAATTAAAAGTTTATATAAATTCAATTATAAATACGTGTGTGCTGAAAAAAAATTCAAACCTAAATCTCTTGCTTTTGTTTTATCACCCATTTTTCCAATAACATCAGGTGTAGGTCCAACAAAAGCTATTCCAGCCTCTTCAACTTTCTTAGCAAAACTAGCATTTTCAGCTAAAAATCCATAACCAGGATGAATCATTGAGACATTACGAAGTTTAGCTATTTTAATTATTTCATCTTGAGCAAGATATGCACCAACTGCTGAATAAACATTCGGATCACCGATCTGGTATGCTTCATCGGCTTTATATCGATGCATTGATAATCTATCTTCATGACTAAAAATTGCAACCGTTCTCATGGAAAGTTCATGGGCTGTGCGAAAAACTCTAATGGCTATTTCCTATAAAAATTAAACAAAATGAAGAATTAATTATGTATGTTGACAATAATGGATTTTATGATGATGGGTAGGAAAGAAAATAAATATATTGTATGTTTATTTAAATAGATAGAAAAATAAATAAGTATAATTACACCACGATTGACCACCATGATCTTTGGAAGATGTCCCAAGACCTGACTATCACGCCGAATACTTTCCACTGAATGTTCATTCATTTTTAAATTTAATTTTGAATTATTCCTTTTTTTTTCAATGAATTATAAAATATATTTTTTTTACATAAATAAATAACGGAGGTTTCTTTATATCTATGATGAGATAGATCAAATTATCCAAATTATTATTATATTTTCACCATTTTTGGTAATAATTTTTATCGAACCAATAATGATAACAGATAAACCCACCAACCATATATTAAAAGAACAATAACAGATAAAACCCAATCTATAAAAAGGATTTCATCGATTTTTTTTAATAGTAAATAATGATAGATCCAATCGTGTGGTACAGATGACTTACATAAACAATAGTTTCTTTCTTTTTTTCCTTTTTTAAAGAATTTGCTTTTTTCGGATAAAGTTTATTGAGTCATGGGTCTTTCTTTAAAAATGGTTTATATAAATTACCCACGTAAAAGGCTTGGATTTATTGTAATCAACATCAAGTTAAAATCAACAATAAATTTACTCGGAATCTAATCAGATATTAATATTAATAGTTTTAAAAAATAGAACTCTAAATAAATTTTTTGAGAAAATCTCTCTATTACATTAAAACTAAAGACCTATTCTATCAATCAATAGAGCTATTTTTTAAAAAGGTGAGACAGAAAATGACTTCTACACTTTTAAGTTTGCACAAATTTAGGAGTCTTTAGACCAAGCCAATTATATATTAATATATAATAATTAATTAGGATGTAGGAAAAATAATACTTAAAATGCAAATTTATCAATTGGTCAGAGAGAAGACTTAAAACATAGTTCAGAAGAATATCAAGAAAGTATAGAAAAGTTGCAAGCACAAAATGGCTTAGTGACTGGAAAGGTAAAGTGTCCAGGTCCGCTATCCCTCTCATTCAATTAGTTTGTCCAAAGTTGCTTTAATCCGAAAGCACATTATTATTAAGTCTAAAAAAAATTACCGGATGAAATTGAGCAGGTAGATGAAGAAGCTTGAGCTGAATGGGAGAGCTTTTACAAGAATGTATTAAGTAAATTAGAAATTTTGTGATTACTTCCTTTGGGGGAAGAAGTCAAGCAAATGCATCTTGTGCCCTTTAGAAAAGAAATTTTATTTACAAGAAAATAGGTGTAAATTTAAATTAAGGGAATAAATAAGGATTATCAACAAAATGAAAAGATTCTGGCAAGTAGATACTTTCCTAATCTACATTTCTGGATTAATTACAGTCAAACTCCTGTCACACACCTCGGGACCATAGTGAAATTTCAAGAATTTTGGTGACTATAGTGTTTGTGACTATACAGGACATGTTTTTACTATGATTAATTAATAGCAGTGAATTTTTCAAATTAACAAAAAAATGTGACTATACTATGTTGTGACGATATAGGATGTGACTATATAGGAGTCTGACTGTATCTTATGAAAGATATACAATTACATTGTTATTGTAGCATTGAGTCACTTAACATCACCAAAATTCTTTTATGATGTTAGTTATGTTCATTTTGTGGTTTTGTTGCAGAATGCCCCAACTATAAAGCATTATTAACCGGAGGAACAAGTAAGTCTTATATAATCAATCATTTCTAATGCACTACAAAGAAAATATCCTCTTCAGAAAACCTTGTTGTATATTGTTCTTGACATATATATATGAATTGATAAATTGAAGGCCTGTAATTATTGTTATTGTTAATTTAACAAATTCAAAAAAATTTATTACAACTTAAAAGTAGGAAAAAAAATTATTTTGCCCGTTTTTGGTTAATTTAACGAGAAACAAAAATAATATTTTCTATGTTTTTTCTTTAATTTTTATCTTTCTCTATTTTTTCTTAGTCTTCGACGTTTTGCCTAAAGGAGTTGACAATGAAAATGAGACAAGAAGATCAGAATAAATTAATCAAATAATAAATAATTGATCAGTAATCAATAATCAATAATCAATAACCAATCAATAGTCAATGATCACCTTTAGCATTCCTCGGTATCTAGCTGTTTTATTACGAGGTTTTGGAGGAGGAAATCTGAATCTCCCATCTTGATAAGCATCTTTGTATTCTTTGATTTCATCATGATAATAATGATAATTTAGAAGAGTTTTGTTTATAATGGAAAAAATTGATGACTTAAAGGAGGTATTAAGAACTTTATTGTTATTATGATTTATTCGAGACAATACATTATTGTTTGTCAATAGTAAATTGGGTTTTTTCAAAAAAAAATTTTTAAACATGATTTTTTTTCCCCACTCCTACAATTAGAATGATATGCGCGCAGATCATATTTTTTCAAAATTCCCATTTTTATTATTCTCAGTCAGATCGAGTTACGGTGTGTATTAATCATACAGTGTTGCACACGGACATTGTTTGCTTTTATATTGAATTAATATTATTTTTTGGTAATAGTAATAAGACCAACTAAATTATTTACATTTAAAGTAAAGTGGTCCATTTTTGAATAGCCCTAGTTTTACTTGGAGGAGTTTTATTAATATATTAATATTAATATGAATGGCCAATAATGATTAAAGTCTTTGCATTATCAATATTGAAAAGCAACTTTGAATTGATCGAAATTTGCAACGTCTAATGGCAATATAAAACTCGCCATCTTGTGAAAGAGTGATAGCTCTGGGGATATGTGCATAACCTCAATAGACTTTGTAATTTGCTTGCTGTCATGACTTGTTAGAGTAAAAGTATTATCTCCCAATGTTCACCTTTAAACGAATAGAAGTCCAAAATTATATTTTTATTCTCTACAGAAAATTAAGAAAATTAATGTAAATAATCACTCACATTTGGATTTACTTGTATAGAAGTTTGCCCATTGATAACTAACTAACCTAGATGCTAGTGATAATACTAGTCATCGATTAACTCCTTGGAAATAGGAAAGACAGGTATAAATTTATCCAGAACCAGAATAAAGACCGCTTTCTAATAAGAGCCTGGAAACAATCAGCAGCAAGCAAATTACCAAAAAAAAACCCCCCCAATTTGACTATTTTGATTCAGTCTACCATCTATCATTTTATTTTTTATTTTTGTGAAAAAAAGTGAAGAAAATACAAGGGAAGTTAAGTATGAAAGAGGAAAAATCAAAAGTAAGGATAATTAACTTTTATAATAATGAAAATAAAACATCATTGGGTTTGTGCAATTTTTAAGATCAAATGTTCACTTCTAGTTTTGTTACAGTATATAAATAATATAAACATTATAAATAAACACACAGATTATGTTGATGATGAATAATAATTAAGGATAGGGGATTATAACATATGATCGGCATGGACAAATTTTGTTCACATGACTCACGTATAAGTAGACCATTCAACCAAAACTTGGTATCATTTGACCAGGCCTCGCCTGTAAATTATATGGCTTTGTATCCGTTTATTTTGTTATAAAGCAATGTCTAGTAACTATATGCTTTTAAAGTTTTATTTTCACCTACGTTTTTTATATTAGAATTTAAAAAATTTTAAAAAATCTTTGGTATGAACAATTTCAAGAAAATTGTTTATTATTATATTTTTATAAATAACAAAAAAATTTTTTTTGACCATGAAATTCATATTTAAGTATGTTACACTGGCCCTAATCCTTAATCATTATTATTATTTCCACTAATGCCAACTCCACTTGCCTGTTTTTTGGTCTTTTTAGCCCATCTTAATCCACAGGCATTGCATAAACTGTATATTTATTAATTAGAGCTTCAATATAATAATAATAATAATAATAATAATAATATAATTGAAAAGGAAATGAAGTTTACGTTTTTGGGCCCAATGGACCTTTTCTCCATTCAGGTGATTCAACTGTCCCACAGTCTGTACACACATACTCTTCTTCTTCGACCTTTTGCTTTTTCTATAAAATAAAATAAAAAAAAATTTTTTAAACAAACTAAAGGAAAAGTAATGTCGTGATATTAATTAAGCAAACCTTTTTTCTTGGTCTTGAAGAAGCTTGATTCGTAGTAGTAACTTCCGGAGTTTTAGAAGTTTGGTCGTTTCTAGCAGATAAAGAGGTGGCTAAAGTATCTGATTCCATTAAATCTTCATTTAGTAAACGTGGATTATTTGAGCCATTAGAAATTCCCATAGCACGCTCACCCTCCTGGTACCTTAACCCAGTTAATAATTCTAACGAATTATTTGTGCTTACAAGAATATCATCTGCCACTGACTTCTCTTCTAATGAAGAAGATGATGATATTATACCACTATCCCCAATTACACCACCCATCATCATCATACCACCACCACCACTAGCACTACCAATTCCACTAACATTATTATAATTAATGTTAGAGGTTTCGGGTGGACCAATTAATTCTCTTAATTGACGACGTAAATTTTCATTTTCCACTTTTAATTCCAAAAATGAATCTATCATTGCTGTGGTTTTAGATGGATATGGTCTACCCATACTAAAAAAACATTTACATTGGCCAGTAATATCATTTTCACCAAAATAAGGATGCCCTTTAACCTCAAGGGTAATATATTTTTCATCTTTCTTACGAAATCTGTAATAAATTGTAAAGCTTGTTCTGTTTTGTATGGCAATTTGGAAATCCCTTACAAACATATCTATATCGTCAACATGAATAAATTCTGTAATTGAATGGTTTACCAATTCTTCAGGTGAATATCCTACCAATTCAGTTGATGAGGGTGAACAATACATTAGTTTTCCTGTTGGTGAAATAACATGCAAGAAATCTTTTAATTCCTCAATAATTTTTTGTGACCAATTCTTTCTTTTTGTAAACTCTGTCATATTACTTGTTGCGGTAGTGGCAGTAGAATTTATTGCTGATGCTGAACTATTGCTACCGCTTGCTGTTGTTGATGTAATATTATTATTATTATTGACATTACTTGGACTATTATTAGGAAGATCGGAAGTCGCATAACTCATGATGGAATTATCAGGAACTACTGCCATTTCATTTCTTAAAGATCCAATGATAGTCGAAGTGGTAGGTGGGAACCCTTCATCCATGACTTTGTTATCCGATAAAATTTGATGAAAATTCGGTGTAAAATTTTCCATATTTTTTTTTTAGAAGAAAAATTGTTGAATAAATGCAACATCGCACAAAATTTTAGGGGTATAATCAAATCACGTGACTCTATTGTATAGTTAAATATTAATGGTCCAACTTTAAAATTTCTTTTATTATTAAAAGTTAGTATTAAAAATAGAATTGTATTATATATTAACAAAATTTCAAAACATTGTGCTTAATTAGGTTAAACTGATGAATGTCACACAGGTATCTGTGCTAATGCAATAATATTTATTTTAACTAATTACCTTGTTTTGATTTTATGCATAATGTAATAATGGAAAATAATAGTATTTAATATGGAGGTTTTTCAATAGAAACGGTCCATGTTGTTTTGAGAAAAGATCCGCATTTAATATTACGAAGTTTACTATCTTTTTTTTGAAACTTCAAAGAAAAAAAAAATCTATATTTTACCATTCAAAATGAACATGGTTTCTAAGCCAAAATGGTTCTAGATGAGGAATTACATATAGCAATGGTATTAACTCAAAATTGCTTTTTCACAATATGGTCCGTTTCTATTGAAAAGCTCCCATATACATCAGGAAATTTTTTTAGAGGATAAATATCGAGATACATCATTTATTGATATTTATCACTTACAATATGTAACGATATTTAGCATCATCGAAACTAATTACCAAGATAATTAACGATAAAGATAATAAATGAAATTAAAACACCAGGATAATTAACGACAAAGATTATATACGAAATTAAATCACTAAGATAATTAACGATAGAGATTATATACGAAATTAATCACTGGCAGTTTTATGATTAAAAGATATATTTATTAACAAAATATTTATTCTCGCAATTATTTCTTGATACCATATAAACTGACATATCTACAGAATTTAGATAAACGCATGTTACTATTCATCGTCCCGATGAATTATTCCTTCTCCATCTTCCGTTTCTTTTCTTCCTTTTTTCCTTTAGCTCCAAGTCCACTTGAACTTGAATTTCCAATTTCCTTTCGTGTTTAATACAATTCTTTGGCCCATCGATTGTCAGATTACTTGCTTATTTCCTTTATGTCTGTTTGATTCTTGTTATGGTGCAATTACGTACTTTCCGTTTGGCTCCAGCCACTAGAATTTGCACTTGTACTAGCCGCGTTGGTTTTCCTTCTAGAGCTATTACAATTAATTTATTCTTCGTAAATTTTGTTTATTTCATCTCTCGATTTTGATTCATTGTATGTTAATAAATTAATAACAAATTGTTTTGTCCTCGCAAGTAAAAAATTTTTTGTTACACGAATTGGAATTAATTTTCAAAATTAATTTCTTCGTTTTTTTACGCTTTCACTTATTATTATGTTTCTTCTTCTAGCGTCTTAGCTCTTTTTTTAATTCAAACATGGTGTTCTACTAATGCTCAAAATTCTTTCTTGCTAGTTATTCTTTATTGACATTTTACATTTCCTAATTAATTGCAATTTATTTTTCTTTTCTTTATAACGGTCTTTCTTTTTTTAATTTTTTCTAGACTTTGTTTTGCAAAACTTTGATTCTATAACGATCACTTGTTTTAACATTTCTTCCTTTTTGCATTATTGCATTTGTTCTTCCATCAAAGATCATATTATCCTTTCGGTATCCATTTCTTTCTTTATTTACATTCTTTAATTAAAACTTTCCGAATGTATTATTTTTAAATTTTCGTAGGTCCGGCCCTTTTTTTTTTTGAACTATTTCCCGAAGACTCATTCTACTTGAATTGAACTATATAGTCTTCTGGTTCTATTGTGCATTGTTTATTGAATTTTCATATTTATCCATGTTCCGTAGGATACTTTTTCCGTGACAGGGTTCTGATCAATTCTTCCGTGTAAAAGGGTCGTTGAACGTTATTAAAATTTTTAAAAAAATTTCATCGATCTATTTTTCGTCATAACCTTACTTTAACACTTCTTTGATTCTAAGGGTATATTTTTCGTCATAGCTTCTTTGATTCTAAAAGTATAGCTTTTAGTTATAGTCTTCCTTGAACACTTTGTTGATTTTAAAAGTATAATTTTTTTCGTAGCCTTTTTGAACACTTCTGTATTCTAACAGTATAGTTTTTAGCCCTAACCTTTCTCGATTTATCATTTGCTACTATTTACTAGTTATTCTCAAGGTACAGTTTTACTTCATTTGTTTTTTATCTCCGGAATTTTACGTCTAGGATTCTTAGCCATTAATTATATAGTATATGATAATAACATATAGAGTCTTTCGGTAGTGATATTATTTACTCTTCCTTTCGTTCGGTGGCTATGATGTTAATGCTTCCTTTCGTCTTTATCCTTGTTTTCACAGGTAATGTTTTTCTTATCACGTATCCGTTTCTTCCGCTTTAAAATAGTATGTAACTTAACTTCAGCTTTTCAGCTAAAAAACTTAATTCCAATAATATATATGTCTATACAGGTTCGCGGCTATAATCTCTTCAGCAAAAGATATGAGGATCCATTTGCAAATTATAGTCCTGACATAGAATGCACGAGAAGACCTTTAGAACGATGATATGAAAAATTTAAGGTATGATTATTTAGTTATTTATTAAAAAATTTATCATATATTTTAGGAATTAATTAGAGATGATGAATCCATCAAAATTAATGACTTTATATCGATATTAAAAAAAGCCTATAAAAAATAAAATATGGAATTGGTACGGAATAGATACGGAATGCAAAAAAAAGTACGGAAATTTGTTTTGTTACATGAACTGTTTCCGTACTTTTTATACGTTTTTCCTGCGCCTTTTGTACGTCTTTTCCGTACTTTTTTGCATTCCATATCTATTCTGTACCAATTCCATTATTTTTATAGGGAAGAAATTCCGGAAATCCAAAAGAAAAATGGGACAAATGTTGAAGAATAAGAAGAAGATAGAGAAACAATTGAAGAAGAACCAAATTGTGATTCATTATTTTATTAATAGTGGTTCAATTTATTTATTATTTATAAATTTAATATGATTACTTTATTTTACTATTAATAATACTTACATGATATATTTAGAACTAAGACTAGTGAAAATTGGGTGTTGGAGTTATTTTAATGTTGCATTTAGTTATACTTTTATATAGTGGCTAATTAGTACTGTAAAAAATTTAACATTAATAAATATTACTCAATATTAATCATTTTAGTTAAATTTCAATAATTATCTATATTTATCTATATTGAATTTAATTGATGAGCGCGATTATTAATGATGTATTATGATGTTGTTAAATTTCGGTGTTGTTAAATTTCGACGTTGCTAAATTTCAATGTGATTAAATTTTGATAATTTATCCATATTCATCTATATCAAAAATAATCGATGAGGGCGATTATTATTGACGTACAGTGAACCCTTGTTTCAACGAACCTTGTTTCAACAAAGTATAATTAAATTTTTGATATAACGAATTTTTAAAAACGTTGTTACACATTATGAAAACATATAAAAATTCGTTGAAACGCGATTAGTGACCTTGTTTCAACGAATGTTGAATAAAATTTTCTTATATGTCCAGCCACTTCGTTGAAACAAGGGTAGACTGTATTATCAAATGGATTTTCATCGATATATATCCCCTTAAAAAATTTCCTGATGTAGGCAAATAAATATATATAATAAGTTCTATATATTTTCACATTTTTATTTATTTATTTTAGGATTTACACTGGATACAATACATGTAAACTAACAATTCTTCTTAAAAGAGCAAATGGTGGACACATGCTTCGTGATATATCAAAGCCTTACTGTTCATGTTGAATAAAGTTGGTCGCCAAATAAAATCCGGAACGTTTGTCAAAGTCCTAATACTAAACGTTTGCCGAAATCCTAAATTTCTGCAGAAATATATAAATTTGCTAAATTTGATAGATAAATTTGATAAATCCAGAAAAATATTTAAAATTTATTTACTTTAACCAGACATAATTATATTCAAATAAAAAGCAAATTTTGGTCGAAATAAAAATAAAAGCTTATTTATTATTCACAAACATTTGCTAAATGTGATTGTAGACTATGAACATAAATACGTTTCCATTTTTGTTTTACAGAATTTTCATTCACCAGAAAAATGACCAGGTGATTTATTCAAAGGTAATCGAACAAAATAATTCCAAACATTATTTAATTTATGACCAGGCTTTTTTGTAGTTGTAGTATCATTTTGTTGGTCAGACATCATCATACAACGAACGAATTCAAATTTTCAATCAATATTGTTGAATTTCTGATTAGCTGATTTAATATTATTACACATACAAATTTTGTTTAGCCAATTTTAATTTCGGATTTCAATATATGCTATTAATATTATTAATAATAGTAATAGCATATTAATATTATTAATAATAGTAATAGCATATTAATATTAATGTGTAGTTTTCCGCCAATTTCGTGAAACCTCAGAATATCCATTTTTATTGGTGGGTAGGGTGCGTGTTATCCTTATTTAGAAATATATTTGGCGATCGCGGATATTTTTTGTGGAAATGTGTACGCGTTTGTTGATCAAATAATTTAATTTAATTCTTTTTTTAAAATGCCTAAAAAAAGAAAAGCAGAAAAATCCTGGGAAGATGTCGTTTATCAAAAGAATGGTGGTGGTGGCTATCGCCACTCATCATCACTCTAGCTAATAAATATAAAAAAAATAGGGAGAAAAGTCAGTATAATAATAAAGAAAATATCGAAGAAGTCAAAGACAACGAGGTATTTATTTCAATAGTGATTAATATTATAAATGTATTTATTCAAAAATTTTTTTACATACATTCTCTTTAGAGTTGGAAAAACAAATTAGAACGTCTAGAAAGCAAAGTATCAAAACAATAATAAACTTAAGAAAAAATAGATAAAGAAGGTACACAAATTGACAACATATTGTACCTAAAATTGTAGTTTTAAATAACTTACGCTTTTTCTTGCAGATAATCAGTCTTTTCTTACTGATGAGGTCGTTCACCAAACCAAAGAAATCCATGAAAAAGTTGTTGCAAAAAAAATAGAAATTATTCCCTTGTCTTCCTTTAATACAACCAATTGGCAAGCATTTCTCTCAAAACTGACGTCAAAATGGATTGTTAATGACTCATTAGATGAAACTGCTGACATTGAGAAATATGTTTGGAGTGATTATCCTGAAAGTCATGAAACACAACGTAAAAATTATATGTCTTATCTCAAAAGGCATGTCAACTTATTACCACAAATTTCAATCCTTGACGTTACAACAAATAAGATGCTTCTTCAATTATGTAATGACTCTCGTTTACCATTTAATTTATCTGGTGGCACGGACGTTATTTTGTTTGAGACTACAGCTGAAATTCCTCCCCAAACTGGAATTCGAAGTGTAATTGAATTGGTAAGGGTATATTTATATTGAGTTTATTCTAAATGTTGCAGCCTCTTACCTATCAGTATTTTTTTTTAAAAAATATTTACTAGAAAAAGCAAGTGCAACCAGTCAATGTGTATCAAGCAGTAATTAAGGTTTCCGGCCGAAACTCTCTTTATTAGTAGCCGAAATTGCCGAAACACTTTGGGCAAAAATTACTTTTTTATAAGCCCAAACTATTTTTTTTTATTAGCCGAAATTGGACGAAATTAATTTAAGTTAAAATAAGTTGATTGGCATAGTTTTAATGTTCGTGTTTATAAAAAATGCTGAGAAGCCCAAATTGCCCAAACTAGTTTGGGTAGTTTTGACCGGAAACCTTAGTAGTAATGCAGACGATAATTGCATATATAATCACTCCAAATCATATTTCTGCTATTGGCGTACTAACTGACCTAAAAGACAATTGGCTTAATGAGAAAGAAGTGATTGGCACTAAGTTTACACAACGAAAATCAGCAATTAAATTTATTGAATCAATGATTTTGGAAGAAGAGTGGGCTACAAAAAAAAATGTATTTACCTTTCTCTAATAACACGACAATAAAAAGGATGAAATTTGATAATATGATTGAAAAAAAAGGTGAAATCTTAAGAATAGTACTCTTTTTATTCATATCAAAATAAGGAAACAAGATATTATTAATAAGAATTTGAAATTAATTTTTTTACTTGGATTAATTTAGAATTATACATTTTTTTAATTAACAGTTCTTAACAATTATTTAATTAACAATTATTATAAAGACATGAAAAAAATATCAATTTCGGAATAGAACATTTTTTGTTCAATATATTTCAAAAATCTTAACTATGGCATATTATTTATTTATTTGTCAAACGCACCAACTAACCCACGTCTTTACAAGAAGGAAATCTTCTACATGAATAATGCAACAAATTGCAACTTGCAGATTGCAATGCAGTTGGAATTTTGCAAACTATAAATTAGTTTCATATTAATTATTTTTGTCCAGACAAATATCATGATCACATTATATTGGTAATACAGTTATGATGTTATACAAACATATTGATCCCTGAAAACATTGGTAATACCAATGTTTATTTGTTGCAGCATGCCCCATATAATATAGAGTTTATATAATATATATCTTGATTATCACATACTATACAAGGACCAAAATTTTTTCGGCTTACACCTTTATTCATTTTATTAATGATAAATGATAGTTAGAAATGTTATTTATTTATTTATTATTGCCTGAATTATCTATTAGTTTTATTTTTTATGTTACGCGTTAAGCTAAAATGTAGATCATCACAAATTTGGATGTTATGACAAATTTAGAGCAACTTTTTATTAATAAAAATAAAAATCCAATTCAGAACATTTGTGCAAATTTCGAGGTGGAGTTATATAGTCTGTGCAGTGCCACTTTTCCAAGTGGTACTTTTTCGATTTTACAATACTCTTCACATATAAATTGCTGATCTTTTTTTGAAATGTCTATTAAATGTGTGTAACGACGATCTATCCATAAAAGGATTTTTAACTATGCTGGTTTGGTGTTGGGATTTATTATTCCGATTTGAAATATATATAAAAATTTACTATTATTGTTGTTATTGTTATTATTATTATTCATTACTTTTCTGATAGTTATTTAGAAAATCCAAATCGGGTAATTATACACTTTTAAAAAGAAAATCGTTACCAACTTTTGTTATATGGTAATACAAAAATCGCTAATTCATTGAATATTCAGCGAATATTTGGTTAACCAGATTTTTTCGTGAATAACTGATAATCACTATTACCATCTCGTGTAGCTGAATTAAAAATGAAATTTGCTCACGTCCAAATAAATTCATTTATTTTGTTCATTTCTAATTAATTAAATTAATTATTTCATTTAAAATGGAAGAAGAACCTTCCGTTATTATAAAAGATGGTTCTAAGAAGTCAAGTTGGATATGGAACTTGATGGAGGAAACTGAAATTGTAAAAGATGATGAGAAAACCTAGCTATTTGTCGAGTTAATGTCTCCGAAGCTTTTGATGGTGAATCTAGATCTAAACTATATTATACACTTATCGGAAATACAATGACCTCAAAAAGAATACTGCTTTTGTTTGAAAGGATTGTTTTTTTTGAAAAAGTATTGATAATTTTGATAGAATGCAAAATGACCAATAGATAATTGTTAACAATGTATTCACTGAATAATCAATGAATGATTAATGATCAAAGGAATACCTGAAACATTATAATAATTATTTTTATTCACCAAAATGATCATCCGGAGATTGAATGAATCTTTTTAAAATATATATAGATGATCTGCACTGTGTTGGTTATGTAAAAATAGTTTATTCCGAAAAAAACTAAATCATTAAAAAAAAGGGCGATCCTATATACAGGACTTTCCTAATTTGGTAGTGGCACATACGATCTGCATGCCTTTGTAGAACTTGAATTAAAAAAGGATCACGCAGATCATAAATGGCGCTTCCAAATTAGGAAGATACTGTATATTCAGCCACAGGACCGGTCATATAGGATTTTCCTAAAAAAAAAAAATAAAAAAAAATAAAAAATAAAATCAAAAATAAAATCACTTTTTAAATATTAAATAATTTACAAAATGAAAACTGCTATTGCTTCACTTGTAAACCCTAAATTTTCGAAATTTTTTATTCGTCTCAAAGATCCAACTAAAATATATTTTCCAGGAGAAGTTATAAATGGTAATGATAATATAATCTTTGTGTGAAAAAAAGACAATAAATGCATACTTACTCAAAAAACCAATTTATTATTTTGTTTTGTTATATTATGTCTTTTTTTATTCAACAAGGATACGTTATTATTCAAGGTAGTAAAATGGTTAGAGGTTCTTGCATTAAGTTAGAATTCAGAGGAAAAGTTATGACAAATATTGTAGAAACAAAAGTATTTTATATTAACGAGCAATCTATCAAACTCAATGATGAACCTGAATTTGATCCAATAGAGACATACCAACAATTTTCATTCAATTTAACTTTACCTACAGACGATTTAATTTCAAATTGTTCTGTAAGCTTTTAATTATTTTATATAATATTGTATTTGTTTATTTACATATTTATTTATTATTTATTTATTTTATATACTAGTTAGCACACTGTTCTGTATCATATAAATTTAAAGCATTATTTAAACCAAAATCATGGTTGCCAGATTCCACTTCACCTAAATGTTCAGCCAGAGTTAATATTTTAGATAAAATTGATATTGTAAATTATTCACCACCTTTTATTAAACCTTTTAGTATAGATGTCAAAGGATCTGTAAAAAAATCCAAAAAAATGGGATCTGCAAAAGTAGAGATTGAAATTGGCCATGGTGCAGTTTTAAAAGGTAATAAAGATATAAATATGATGAGGGCGAGGTTATAACCTTCACGATAAAAAATAATTACGCATTCATACATTTATAAATATTTGATTTTTCTTAGGTCAAACCATTCCAATTCGAATTTATTTAGAACATTTTGTGCCAATTAAAAATCTAGATGGTGTTTTGATAGCACTTTATAGGAAAATAAGTGCAGCTTCAAGCAGTGGGTAAGAATGGATTTTAATGTGTGTTGGAGAGTTGAAGGGAATCAGTTGGCTTAAATTTATTCATTAATTATTTTGACTTTTTTTAGAAAAGAAAATTCCAAACTAAAAATAATAAATGCATCAACATCACCAATACTTATTGATCCAAAAACATTAAATGCAGTCATTAATACCAAAGTACCTATACCTAATAATGGCGATGATGATAATGATGACAACATAATAACACCAACAATTAAAATTGGAAAAAACCATTTACTTGTAGAATATTTTATAGAAATTATTGTAGATTTGACAATTAAAAAAACAATTTATGAATCATCAAAAAAATCAAGTTATACAACAATGACGACTTCAAAATATTTAAATTTAAAGGAGAAAACAGGAAAATATAATGCGAATTTTAATATTCCGATTATTATAGGAACATTTGATAGAAGAGGGGGAAGAGGAAGTCAAAATAATCAATCGTTAGAAGTGCCAACTATAATTCATTCACATTTTAATAGTCATCCAAGTGATTTATCAACTAATAGTATACAATCATTTAATCCTTCACTTTTATTGCCAACATCATCATCATTGAACAATAATGATGATGTTAATGATGATGGCAGTGGGGGTGTGAATAATGAAGGTGTGATTTTATGGACTGGAAATGCATCACCAACTCCTTCAGCTCCATCAGTAAATGAAATAGGCTTATACGATGATGAATTTGAATTATATTATTCTTCTGAAATAATACAAAATTAAAATGATGATGTACAATCTTCTTATACGCAACAAACATTGCCATCGCAAGATTATTACGATAATTGTGATAATTAATTATCTAGCGATTGTATCTCTTGAAAAAAATTTAAAGGATGGATAATCTTGCAATGTATTATATAATTAATATGCATTTATTTATTTATTTCAATATTACATTTAACAAACAACTTATTCATCATAGCTTGTTGTTAAAAGAAATATTGTATCATGTAAATTTATTAATAAAACAAGTTCACATTTATTTATATTTATATATACTGTATATATAGTACATTGGATAAAGTTTGCTGTTTATAAATTTATATAAGAAGTCTGAAATTAGCAAGGGAATTTTTAATTTAAAAACAACCATATTAATATGGACCATTTTTTTCAATATATTATCTCATTTTACATAAAAATATAAAATTCCCAAATATAACGGCAGAGCTGTAATAATAATAAGATCGACGCCGATCGACGCTGAACTAACTGGTTTATCTCGCGGTTTCGCTAATGCTTTTTTTATTTGACATCGTTGATCTTGACGATCTAAAATTTGTTACACGTGAAGGATTGAATTAACTCATTCGAGTTACCTTTGATTTTTTACTATATAAAAATAAAAAATATTTCATCACGGTGATGCAATTAATTCAAATCAAATATACCATGTATTTTTACATCATAAATGATAAATATATATAGTAATAAATATATAGTAAAATAAAAATTTATATATAAATAAACCTTGGTGGTTTTTATTTTCAAAAAAAAGATTCTTGCAACACTTTATTGACAAACAATAAAAAAAATCTTTATAAACAAATAAAAAAATGGCATCAGGTCCAATTGGTAGTGGAATTGCTAAAAGTAGACAACCATTAAGAAAATTATTAACAATAGATCCTGAAAATGCTGGATTACTAGGAATACTTGCAGGAGTTGTTGGTATAGCAGGTTACACGTTGGGACGTAAAGCAACTAATACACCTAATAATAAAAATGTACATTTAGCAAAAGACCAACCTTTTCCATGGCATGACAAAGATAAGGATAATGAAAGCAATGATAAAAATTACAAATACAGATTTCATAAATCCGCCGATCCTGAACAAGAAATACTTGAAGCACCAAATGCAATGACCACAACTAAAGTTCAAGTAAAAATGCCAAATGAAATGGCAGAAAAAATTTCACCTAAATTCTTTGAAGAAAATCGAGAAAAAGCATAATCGTGGGCGGATAATCATTAAAAAATATTATTATGTAATATAGTTTAGTTAAATGTATTTTATTTATAATTAGTATTGTTATAAAATCAACAAATATATAAAAAATACATACACATTAAAGACAAGTTTGAAATTCTTGCAGAAAAAATTAAACTATAATAAAATTTTGACGAATATAATTCAACTAATCATTTAATCAATATTCGCCTTTAGCAAATTAGTCGTACTAATATTAATATTAATATGTGAAAATAAATTCGAAATTCGTGTCGTATGAAGTTTTAAAATATCTCATTATTTTTATAATAAACTCGAACTTCGTCGTTAGAGTAAAATGAAAGTACTCCATTAAAGTTTTTTAATGAATACATTTTCATATCGAAAAAACGGTATTACTTGGCTAATTTTGTAAGTTAACTCTCTTACTAACCGTCGAACTAGGGACAAAAGAAGGAACGACAAGGTTATTATTTCTCAATATCGCTTTAAAAGACTTTGAATACTTTAGGTTTTTTATGGGAGTATTGATTAATAAGTTTTAGAGAGGTTCACGAAAAAACTATTTTATAGAAATTTAATAGTCATGAAGAATTTTTATGATGGGATTCAACAAAAACTAAAGGTATTTTATTATATTGTTTTATATTTCTGGATTTATAGATTATTAGTTATTGTTTTATTTATATATAAATAAATAATAAATAAAATGTATAAATTGTCTTTTAACACTCATTTCGATCAAATCGCCTATATAATTATCGAATAATTGATAAACATTCGTTTTGCAAGCTTCATAGATCTTGACTAAAACCTACTTCGATCAAACCCGCCTATATAATTATTGAATAATTGATAATAATAAAACGTTCATTAAATATACGTATTAACTTTTTTGTGTGACGCGTCAATTTTAGGGCTAAACATAGTAAATTCGGTAAACTCATGCAACTTTGAAGCTTAATCCTCCACAACAGCATGCATGACATATCGATGAGATGAAATCGTAACTTTGTAGGGGAAGGTCTTGGCTTCAAAAACACGATTTATTTGGGGTGTTGCATTTCCATTTTTGGAGGATTTGAAGGGTGTACAGGTGTACACGACCAATAAAAAGTTGCGGGACTAAGTGACTTGCACTATACCGACGAAAAACAAAACCTAGAAGGAAAACAATAGAAGCAATTCAGGAATGGGTTAACAAAGAAAAGAAGAAAGAGGCAGAGAGTGAAATTGAAGAAGATAATAAAAACAATAAATATATGAATATTAGTGATAGTAATATTGTTAATAATAGCAGTGATAATAATAGTGAAAGTTGATTTTTTGTCAGAACTCCCAAAGAATAGGTAATACTCACAATAGCATTGGGTCCGATTATTTTCCTCCAATGTAAGCACTCTGACAATTATTTTAACTTATTATTTATGTATTTTCCTATTATCATTAGAGACAATTACGATCTAAATCAATAAAAAAAATTATTATTTTTTAAACATTGTTGCTGAAATTCCATTTTTGACTATTGGAATGAATGAAAAATTGTATCCATGTATTCAACAAACAAAAAATGGGGAGAATGATGAAAATGCAAGCTGGAAGCTATTAACACTCTTGCAAAAACTGCTTGTTTCATGGCCAGATCCTGCTGAATTGTATACCTCACAAAAAAGAAATATATGCAACCAATGTATCCTATGATATATGCTGATACAATTAATATTTCAATAGAAGAAGATAATGATTCTTCAATAAACACGTAAAGACAAATGAATGTATAAATTTCGAATTTATTAATTATTTCTGTTGGTGAAATTTGCTTTTTTAATCTAAAAAAAAAAAATTCTAAATTATTATTTTCATGCACAAAATTCTAATAATTTATATATATAATAAAATAAACAGATATAGAAATAAACTATTTTATTTTTAATATAAATGTTTTTAGTGATCCTGCAATGTTTTAATGTAACATCCAAAATGATGCAATTTCTCGTTTATTAACTGCTCCTTTAAACGTAATATGCATGTTAGCCGAAATTGGCTCTCTTAATAAATGATTGTTGCCAAATCCAAAATGCTAAAATAGTTTTTATAGATGCCGAAATTAATTTTATTAGTTATCAAAATTATATCTGAAATTATTTGAATACGAATACTTTAACTAAATAGCCGAAATTCTGGGTAGCTTTTCATGTAAATCCAAAATTACTTGCCAAAATTGATTTTTTCGAAAAGCATTTGGCTAACATCTTTACTTGGTAAACAATAATTTTTTTGAGACAATCAAAAAAACTACAAATGAACATAATATATATATATATATATATATATATAGGATAGGTGTATATCAAAATAAACCAAAAACTCTTTCTTTTTGAAATACAAATGATTTCACGCAGACACATAAAGACAAATACAAAAAAGAGCACGATGAAAAAAAAAGCAATCAAATCTTTATTTTTTTAAAGGCTATCTTTTTTCCTTTTTTGAAAACCCCATCTTTTAATGATTATTTGAAGCAAGATCCGTGTGTATCGATAAGAATGGTTGACGAAATTATATATGACGAAATTCAAATGAAAATTGATTCAGCCAATCAAAATCAGATGGTTGCTGATCACCAAATAATAAATTTTATATTAATATAGACATTTCAGTTAATATTACTTTAATAGACAAGGTAGTGATGGGGCAAATTGATGATCATATGCTATTACTCAAAGTAACACTTTAAATTTTATTGATTTTTTGCCTGTTTGTGTTATGCATGGCATTTTATCATCATATCATGGTTTGATATAGCAATTCAATATGTAGAGTAACATTGGGTATTTACCATGGTAATTATTCTCGATTCTTTTTTATCATTGAGATAACCCATCATTAGACAAAAGGTTCCGAATCCAAATCATTTTTTCGGTGACATCACTATACTGATGATATATATAAAATCATATTTAACCATCCTTTTTTGATCATTTGTCATGAAAATTTGGTTGGTTTAATTAATCAATTTCAATTATTTATTAATCCAATTTCAATTTCGTCAATTTCGTCAATTTCGTTACATTTCGTCAAATGCGACGAAACAATTCCAGCTCTGCAAAGTATTCGTCAACCATTCTCATACGTGTGAAGTTGGCATCCAATAACAAAAAAATCCTCCTCCAAAATTGGTAATAATTTAAACATTGCATATTTTATGTGTGGCTTAATCATCACGTATTTTGATCAAAAAATATATGGGGCATACTGCAACAAAACCAGACAAAGTGAACATTGGTATTACCAAAGATTTCAGGGATCAAAATTTAGTA